GTGATAAATAATCCATACATTGGCAAAAAAAAAACACGAATACATGAAATTAAAGAAAAGGGTGCCTTCAGTGCATGTTTACCCTTCCAATGGTTCATAAGTTTACAGGGCCCTGTAACTAGGCCGCGTTGTCACGGCGACCAGGCACTGCCAGATTTTCCTCACATAACGCAGATTCTCGTGAAACGCACGCTTTATTTCCTACCTTTCAATCGGGATGGAGAACGAAGTCGATCTATTGCGAAGTTAGGAGTTTTTTTTATTGATGTAATTGTTATTGCCTGTTCCTGGTAAAACATAGCCACGGGCTGCGGTGCTGCTGCCGCCAGAACGATATTGAGCCGCTCATGTTGCCGAGATTGGGTCTTTTTTTTAATGCAATTTGCAGCAGGCGATGTTGCCTTGTTTTCCCCACATCCAACTGCCTGTACGGTTCACCCACGGCCCTATGGACATGGCAGAAAGGAAATCGATTTACCTATACCCCCCTTTATCCGCTCTCTCTACTCTCCGTAACCCCCCTCTATCGCTCATGTATGTATCTTGAACTTCTTTCGCGCCGTACGTAACCAATCGTGCTAATCGGCGTTAGCGGGGGAAGGACAACAAACTAAACACGAGCAGCTTGTGTTGATGTATTTATTCTTATTATTATGATTATCGGTGCTTATTTGCGATAAAAAGAAAAGCCACGCCCATAAGTAAAGCTGCCACCTCTGAGGTACAAAATACTGGGACGTATTCCCAAAAAGACGACTATCTCACAATACCGAAATAGGGGGAAAAAAATACAGGTCCGTGAGTGTTGCATCATCACATAGCTGACAAAAAAAAACGGATTTGGGCCTAGAAATCTCCAAGGAAAGCTCCATCCTCAAAAAAGAAGATGAGTGTGGGGAAATGAGGAAAGCCGGAAACCCAACCCAGAAACGGTCTCCCTGTAGCATTAAATGCATCCTATTATCCCCACGTATACCACAGATGATAGGAGTTACATGCAGTTTGCAGGGGACCCTTCCTGTTATCTGTGCCTAACTGCGGAATAACAAGTCAGCGGATGTGGCCGCCCAAGAGCACTGAACTCCCCCTATTATTCTTGTCCTGTGAAGAAGGGCCATCTATAAACCTGCGTTTAGAGGCTGCTATAAATTTCCACATTTATAAATATCCTTTGTGATGGCCAAGGTTGCTTCTGATAAAAAAAAAATGAGCTATATAGCTCAGTGGGCTTTACCTGGTAAAATAAAAACTGTTCAGTTTTAGTTGAGTTTCATTGCCCGAAGCATTACCCATTGTATTATTTTCCTTTTAAGGCCACAGTGTAATTTACGAATGTGCTGATTTAGTTTTCTATCAAACTGGAATAGCCACGCACATAGTAGCAGTCATGTTCACGGAAACAAGGATTGAGCAGTAGCATTCCCCCCCTCCCCCTCCACACCCTTCCACATCACCTAGGAGAAGTTTCAATGAATTCGCCTGTGCATGTGTGTGCATCAGTGTGGGCCATGGGTCATCTGGTTTGTGTTGAAGAGCCAAACCCCTGCATATGTGTGTGTATATATACTCTGTGTATATATATATAAATGCACAATGTGGAATTGACAAACATTTGCTCTGCTCATCTGTGCTATGATGTGGGAATGTGCACGTTTGTGCTCTACGTGCATTGCCCTAGGACTGTTGTGAAGCCCAAATGCTTCGTCTCTTAACCCTCTCATGTTCCGAGACGTCTGCAAGTGGCAGGGTGGGTGTCTCATTCACCGCTGAATCTCAGAACGCGCAAGCGGCTCAGCATTCATTTTATTTAGAGAAGCATATCCCCGTTTTTTTTTTAAGGCATTGCACTGACCACAGAGAACCGTAGCGGCGCGACCGCCACTCTACGATGGCTTGTGCCAAACTGTCACGTGCCCTCCCCGCATGGCCTTGTGGGAACCTTCGGTACTGATAAAGTTATTTTATTTTGTCTTCCGAAGAAAAACTGAGTTCGGGGAGCATTCCATTTCGAGTCACTCCCATATCAGTATCATGGGGAAGCTTGTAAGTACCAAATTAAAGCACAACACTGATTTAGTCATATTTCACGCTGAAGCCATCTTCAGCAATATTGTTTTTTTACATTTGAGACACATCAGTGCACAAGTTAATACACAAAAAGATTTCCCCATGTTGATCGAAATTACCTGGTTTGTGTTTGTGTGGTATTCCATGCATTCATTGCCAGGATCGAATCTGCTTAGCTTTGGCACATTTATGGTTATAGTGATAAGGTTTTATGTGTGATCTTCGCTGATGCACCCTTTTAGAAGGCATGCACAGTATGAAATAGTGATGGAAAGGTGAATGAATTCGTTGATTGATTAATGTATATGCTTCTCATCACAATATGCACATATAATCCCATATTTAAAAAAATCAGTTGCTTGATAATTTTCATAGCCCTGTGCCAATATACTGTTGGACGTGTCCTCCCTACACAGTGTAGGTCATGGGGGATTTTTGACCATACTTCCCCATGCTGGCCAATGTGGGTTGGTGTAGAGGGAGCCCAGTACCGGATCTGATGTAAGCCGTGGCCACGGATTTAACTCAGGTGGCCGGGTTTATTGCCCGGCACACGAACCACTGCACTGCTACTCCCCCCTTGATTCAGAGATGTTGCAAGTAATGAGTTCACATGACCCTTTCAATCACTAGAGGGGTTCAAACCCACCACCCCATTGGTATAAAATAATTGATTTTTGTATTTGAATTGTGCTACCGACTTGTGACAATTTGCCAAATTGCCACTTGTGGTCTAGGGGTTTGGTGGGTGGGTGAATAATTTATCTCAACCAGGCTTCCACCTGCTGAGCTGTGGTGATTTGGAGCCGATCTTCGGCTGCTTGTGTGACATCTGGTGACTCTCCACAATGCCGCTTTGGAAGACGCGGACCCTTCAGGGTGCTGAGCTGTGTGGCTATGACCCAGGATGAATTGTGCGGCACGCATAATGGTCTATATTCTACTGCAGTCACCCACCCACCGGCCCACCTCACCGACCCATCAGGAACTATTTTGAATTCACTTGCTTCTGCAATAAATGGCAACGACCCCCTTCACCATTCCACTTGCAATAGCCTGCATCATTTATTGGCAAACTACAGTATATCTTTGCTGCCGGATTTTATTTTAGTGTTCCTGTTATCTGGCACTGTGACAGAATGTGCCCTTCACCTTGAGTCCACAAAACTACGACGGCATGAACACGCCAGCGCTTATTTATTCATGTGCGTGTTTATTTCTGGGAATGGGCACGGGGCAGAGTTAACTTTGTTGCGGTGTGCAGCAGAAAAAAAAGAAACACACACAATGTGACTGGTATTGACCAAACATCCCACAATGCTGAAAGAGTAGCTGCGAATGACTCAATTGGGGATCACATACACACACAGCAACACAGACACATTTGCCCACTGCTTCGAAACAGCTGGCAGGACCTCTCCTGAAAATGAGCCTTAAGACTCGGTGTGGCTTTTCCTGATTGAACGTGCACAACGTAAAGTCACGGGTGTGGCGCCGCGGTGGCGAGATGTTAACTACCTCTCCTGGTATGCAGGGAGTCGTGCGTTCAGAGTATTTTTTAGCTGCTATAAATGTCCACGTGATAAGCCACTTCGTTGAGCTATCATTTGTGGCCAGGTCGCTTCTGAGAAAGAGCTACACAGCTCAGTGGGGCTTACCTGGTAAAAGAAAAAGAAAAGTAGAGCGGTAACATTCAAAAATAGAATTGTGAAATAGTATCGTTGTGGTCTAATATAGTAGCAGTGTAATAGTATATACAACTGCATTGTGTTGGTGTAGTTGGTGCAGCACACTCTTTGCTATGAAAAACCTAAGCACCTGTCCCCCGGTGGAGGGCTGCACAGTGGCCGCTCATTACGCCAATCCTCCTGCAAGCAGGCGCTGTGCACCGTTGCGTGGCAAAGCTTTAAGAAGAGGCCTTTGCCGTGTGTCTTTGTGTGCGGGCGAGTGTGTCTGTGTTGCGGGGGCGGCGGTGTAGCAGTTAGCGCGCCACACTATGAACCCGGCGACCCGAGTTTGATTCCCCGCTCACGGCCAACATTGGTGACGAATATCTGAACCGGTCCTGGGCCTCGACTAGGTCGACTCGGCCTCAAATGAGTATCTGGTGCGGTGTGTAAACATCGGGAGACAAAGGTGGGCAGGCGTGGTGCTGGCCACTCACCCCCTCGTGTGCCGTGCCGGTCTTCATGGGTTCTCGCTTACTGCACTTGCTCCTACAGTCTATTAAGGTTACATGGGGGATCTTTGTATTTGGGGAGCGGTGGCACAGTGGCTAGCGCACTGCGATGTGAACTCGGTGACCCGAGTTCAATTCCCGCTCACGACCAATAACATTTGAGATTATTTGAACTGATCATGGGCCTCCCCTAGGTCGACTCAATTGAGTACGTGGTGCGGTGTGTGAACATTCACCACTGGGGTGACAAAGGCAACCAGGCAAGGTTTTGGCCACCCACCACTTCATGTGCCGTGCCTGCATTTATAGATGCCCGCTAACATCACTTGCCTCAACAGTCTGTTAAGGTTATACGGGGGATCTTTGTCTGTCTTGGGTGGTGTTAAAGTTGTCCATGCTTCGTGCTGTGGATTCCAGCAACCTGAGATGATTTATCGACCTCAATTTGAGACCTGGTGATTTGAGATTGATCAAGTTAGGTGACAGGTGGTGTCTAAAAATGCATCCACTCGGTTAAATCAGCCTTAAATGAGGAGCTAGCAGGCTGTGTATCAGTACCGGGGAGTCAAAGATGGCCAAGTATGATTCTGGCCCCATCGCTCCCTCGCGCGCCGTGCTCGCTTTCATAGGTGCTCGCTAACAGCACTTGCCCCAACAGTCTGCCTGGCTCTACAGGGGATCATAGTCTTTGTCTTTGTGCATGCGCGCGCGCGTGTGTGCGTGTGTGTGTGAATGCGTGCGTGCGTGCGTGAAGGAGGCACCAGTCTTTCACGTGGTGGGGAGGACTCCGGGACAGATGCGGATGACGAGACGCAGCTGGCGTTTTATACTGAGCAGCACCGCGGACGCAGGAAAAGCCGAGGTTGCCCCAATATTTTTTTTGGTTTCTGGTGTCGTTTGAGATGAGCTGTTTTGTCTTTTCATCGTCGAATGAAAAAGTTTTTTCTGCGATTTTTTAAACATTTTTTTCGCGGTTTGCGCTGGTTTATTTTGCGCGTGGCGGCGGGGGGGGGGGGCGATTGTAGCCGCGCGTTTCTATCGGCACGATGTCCGACGTTTCGCTGCATGTGTTCGGAGCTTCCACCAAAGGCGAGGTAAACTCAACAGCACATTGGAGAGCTACATTAAACCTTTATTTCCATCCTCAGTCGGGCAGAAAGCAAATCTTTTTTTCTTTTTTTTTTCACAGAAACGTTTCCCACGGTTGTTCGGCACGGTGAGTTATTACTGCAGTAATGTGGTGGTGCTAGCTACATTCTCTTAATGCTATATTATGGCCATTTCTTTTGGTAGTCATTAAGTAATGCGGTATTATTTTAACTTCTTTGTAATTCAATTTACATTCTGAAGCTCTGTGTAATGCATTTCATTGAAGCGGTTTCTTTCTTTGGAAATGGTTTTGTATAATTTTTTATGAAGACCCTTGGTTTTTTTTATTTTTGCCATTGAAAAGCAACAGACCATTGCTCGTGAACAGAAAACACTTTAATCGGTGCATATATCAGCCATGAAGCACGGATCAGAAGCATGAACTGACGAAACCTGAAAATTGTTACAAAGAAGTACATGGTGGTGGATCCTTGGAATTACACGAATAAATTCTAGATTTGAAGCTTTCGTGACTGCAAGGATTCCGAAAGAACTAAGAGTATACACGAATAAAGTGGAACATGTGGATCAGGATGATAGGGGAGAGTGTGTGAGAGAGAGTACAGTAGAACCCCTCTTAACGACCACCCCTATTAACGACTAATCGCTTAATGAAGAGCCTCCATAGAGCCCAATGTGCAGTGTATAGTGTAGTGTATAGTAGTGTAGTGAATAGTAGTGTAGTGTATAGTGTAGTGTATAGTGAAGTGTAGTGTATAGTGTAGTGTATAGTGTAGTGTATAGTGTAGTGTATCGTGTAGTGTATAGTGTAGTGTATAGTTTAGTGTATAGTGTAGTGTATCGTGTAGTGTATAGTAGTGTATAGTAGAACCCCTCTTAACGACCACCCCTGTTAACGACTAATCGCTTAACGAAGGGCTTTCATAGAGCCCAATGTGCAGTGTATAGTCGTGTAGTGTATAGTGTAGTGTATAGTGTAGTGTATAGTGTATAGTAGTGTAGTGTATAGTATAGTGTATAGTAGTGTAGTGTATAGTATAGTGTATAGTAGAGTAGTGTATAGTGTATAGTAGTGTAGTGTATAGTGTAGTGTATAGTAGTGTATAGTGTAGTGTATAGTCTAGTGTATAGGGTAGTGTATCGTGTAGTGTATAGTAGTGTATAGTAGAACCCCTCTTAACGACCACCCCTGTTAACGACTAATCGCTTAACGAAGGGCTTTCATAGAGCCCAATGTGCAGTGTATAGTCGTGTAGTGTATAGTGTAGTGTATAGTGTAGTGTATAGTGTATAGTAGTGTAGTGTATAGTATAGTGTATAGTAGTGTAGTGTATAGTATAGTGTATAGTAGTGTAGTGTATAGTAGAGTAGTGTATAGTGTAGTGTATAGTGTATAGTAGTGTAGTGTATAGTATAGTGTATAGTAGTGTAGTGTATAGTATAGTGTAAAGTAGTGTATAGTAGTGTAGTGTATAGTGTAGTGTATAGTAGTGTAGTGTATAGTGTAGTGCATAGTGTATAGTAGTGTAGTGTATAGTAGTGTAGTGTATCATTTAGTGTATAGTAGGGTAGTGTATCGTGTAGTGTTTAGTAGTGTAGTGTATCATGTAGTGTAGTAGTTTAGTGTATGGTAGTGTAGTGTATCATTTAGTGTATAGTAGTGTAGTGTATAGTAGAACCCCTCTTAATGTTAACGACTAATCGCTTAATGAAGGGCTTCCTAAGAGCCCAATGTTTTCACTTATTGACCATTCCCCCCATTTACGACAGTGCTGTTGTAGGTACAGTGACTATGAATGTATGTTTTGATTAACCATGTTTCTTTTAATATCATGTGTTTATAATCTTGTTAGTATCTTTAAGTATTTATATCCATTTTTTATACTATAAAGTACGTTTTTTGTGGTGAAAAAGGGAAACTTCCGATGCTACTGGAACGAATTTAGCCTTTAACGTGCATTTCCTACACTCGCTTAACCAGCAAAAGCACTTATCGACCGGTTTCGTGGAACCAATCACCGTCGTTAAGAGGGACTCTCCTGTAGCAGTATGTCGGAGTTGACGCATTGCCTGTTTAGAAAAGTGGGCATGGGCAGAACACATCAGATGGGACGAGGCCGGCGATGGAATGGTATCCAAATGTGGGAATGTACCTGGGGCAACGGCGGTACACAGAGATGGAGTGATGGGATCGGCTCCTGCGCAGCAGCGAGCAAGTGAAATGGATCGTGGCTGATGACGATCGTGACGATGAAGCAACTAAATATGGATCGAATTTCTCCGCAGAGTTGTGTGAACTCGATCTTTTGTTTGGCATCTTCGTCTCGTTACATATGACTTCTTACCTAACGTATTTTGGCTCGTGATTTTAGCTAATTTATTACGTGGTGTAATTGGAAAATCGTGCTTCTGCAATTAAATGTGGTACTTCTTGACACATCTTAACATAGTCTATTGTTTCTTGTAGTAATTCTCTACTCTTGACTTACTCGTGGTTTCATACGATTATTTTGTCTCTTTATTTAATAACAATAATCATTCAATTTTAAGAGAATAGCCTCCCCAAGCCAAAATAAATCACTGTCAGCGCGATAAACTTTTAAGCATTCCTCCTTCTGTAACAATTTAATGTAGTTGCACGTGACATCTAAAATATCCGCACGCGCATTGTGCACGTTGAGCAAACATTGCTTTCAGAGAACGTGTGCGTCGCATTCATGGCGCACGAGACTTTTACGAAATCATGAAAAAGTACGACTTCGAAACCTCCCCATTGTCGCTCGCGGCTCCACGACTCCACGCCTTTCCGCTGCGCTCACGCCGATGCCCAGGCACCGAATCGTTCAGGCTGCTGCAGGAGCCTGACGAATGAGCAGTGAATGAGCTTGGGTAGGAGCGCATCGCCGGACGGCGATGATGGCCGATGGGCAAGCGATGTTCGAGAGCCCGGACGGAGATGGAGCGACGAAATCGCTTCACGTGCGGAAACCGGGTGGTAGGCGGATTGGCAAGGCGTAGGGTTGCCTCCATCCAGCAGTTGATAAGACAATGTCCCCACGATGACGATGATGGTGACGGTCGTGGTTGTGCTGCCAGCTGTAAGAGTCTCAGTCCCCAGTGGGGGGAACTTGTGGCTTTGGAAGATCCAGGCATGAAACACCCCACTGCACCATTAACCATCACAATTGAAAATAAATGCACTTGAGGCAGCAGTAACAAGACATGATTCAGTTCTGTGAAATGAACAATTAGGGTGTTTTTTTTCTTTATTCATGAGAACGCTGTTATTTTGCCGTAAGTGTAATGGCTGTAAATCCAGAAGTCACCGGTTTCATTCGATCGCTTGGGACGGCAGTCGAAACTATGACGGTGCGAGTTTATTAAATCTGCCCCCCCCCCCGCTTCTGCTCTCTCAGCAATGTAATGCAGTTACACAGCATGGAAGAGTAGGCCAAAAGTACCCTCTCTCTCGAAGCTCTCTCCAGTGGAGGCCATCGCACAATTGCGGGGCTGAACATTTTCCTTTCATTTTTATTAAAATGTTACAAAAACACGCATGGGGAGGGATATTGCTGCCACCTCCGCTGGCAGAAAGATCCTCTCACACCACGTTACACAACCCCTGCTGTCAAGGGACCACCTTGCAGGCACGATGGATTCGGTCTCTAGGTTACAATGCTTCTCCTCCTCCCTAAGGGGGCGGTGGGTGGTGGGGTGGCCGCATCCGGTGGGCACACGGCATCTGTACGCCAGCCTCAATTAAATCAGAATTGAATAAATGTAGAAGTAATAATTTCCCCATCTCCCCCGCCGCGTACTTTCCCATGATCCCCCACCTCTCCGCTAACCCCCCCCCCCCCGCCCGTCTCTCGCCTCCGTTCCCCCCTCCGCTCTCAGGCTCTCCCCGGAGTCCCGTTGGCAAGACGACGCTGGCCCTGCTGAGCGTGACGACGTGCGCCGTGGCCATGGTGTGCGGCGTGCACCTCGCCTGCCCGCTCACCGTGCGCGTCACGCTGCACGTCCCCGAGCAGTTCGTGGCCGACGGTACGATCGCCCTGCGACACGTGCGTGCGTGCGTACGTGCGTGCGCTGCACCGCACATGGACCGACACTTCCTCCCCAATCGTGACATCCCCATCCCTCCCCGAGCCGTCGCCATCTCTGACGCTCGTGCGATGTGCCAATTTCACGTAGCGCCTGCTGATCTTTTTTTTCTTGACTAAAACACGCAGCTGCTGAGCACAGGCCTCGAAAGGGCCAACACCCCCGAGTTGGCCAGCAACAAACAGCACCGTCACGGTTGAGGCAGGTCAGAGTGAACGCATTTCTCGAATTGAGCGAGGCTATATAAGAGCTCCAGAGGTGTGGACTCGAGTCATGTGACTTGGACTCGAGTCAGACTCGAGTCATGAATTTGATGACTTCAGACTCGACTTGGACTTGCATAACAATGACTTTGTCCCACCTCTGAGGTGTGGACTCGAGTCATGTGACTTGGACTCGAGTCAGACTCGAGTCATGAATTTGATGACTTCAGACTCGACTTGGACTTGCATAACAATGACTTTGTCCCACCTCTGAGGTGTGGACTCGAGTCATGTGACTTGGACTCGAGTCAGACTCGAGTCATGAATTTGATGACTTCAGACTCGACTTGGACTTGCACCTCTGAAGAGCTCCAAGGTTGAACAGGGTGGGGGAAGAAGCGGACCCGAGAAGCAATTTGACCCACGGTGTGGTTGGTGAACACAGTGTAGATGATGTAGATTAGACACCGGTGGACGAATCATGTTCACGGGAACTGGAACCATGGCCGGAGCGATAGAGGAGCAATGGTGACTAAAATAGGTACCGTTTTGTTGATCTGTGACATAACCGGCTCTAACCACAATCCGCGTGTTGGCTCAGATTCACGAACAGACTGTAATTGTCACTCCACGTGCTCATTTAGACTCAACAATAGCGATTAAATTTCGATTTAAAGCTTGCGTGACTGCAGGGATTCATCTTCTTATTTTATTATTTCCCTTCTACGTGACTTTACCGAAAGAACCAAGAAGATGAACAGCGATTAACACAACAAACTAAGATTGCTCTCACTCAGCGTAGCAACTGCGTGCGCACGGCTCTAAATCGTCGAATTTAAACGTTGCAGCTCCAGACGTTTTGAGTGAGGTCACCACCTCCGAGGACGTTCGGTGGGAACCCAAACTTCCACGGCTGTCGCCTAATGAAACCGTCCAGCAAACGTGGTTCACTAACTCGGCCGCAGGCTGCTCGTCGCACCCATGCTCTCCCTCCGGCTGTCCAACTTCGATTGTCGGGCTCAGTCGCCCAATTAAGGCGATTTCACAACATCGATCGCGACTGTGGAAATTGAGGCTGAGCACTCGAAGGGGGAGTCGCCAGACAACGGAGTCGTCAGGTGACCTGTGTATGTGTCTGTACGTTGAACTTCTTTCAACGTACATACATACATGGGGAGCAGTTGTGCAGCGGTTAGCACACTGCACCACGAGCATGAGTTTGATTCCCACTCATGGTCGGCACCAGTGACGATTATCTGAACCGGTCCTGGGCCTCTGCTAGGTCGACTCAGCCTCAAATTAGTACCTGGTGCGGTGTGTGAACATCGCCACTCGGGAGACAAAGACGACCCAGCGTGGTGCTGGCCACCCACCCCCTCGCTAACCACACTTTCCCCAGCAGTTTGTTAAGGCTATATGGGGTATTTTTGTCTTTTGTCTTCTATCGCACCGTGCATAGACAACCGTGCTCATCGCAGGTGATGTCTCTTCCAAAGAAATGCCGACCTCGCCGTTCAAGATATAATTTTTTTTTGAAAATAAGCTGTTCCCGCCCCTGCCCTCCCAACCACCCACCCACCCTCCCTCTTCTTGCTCCAAACGCTGACCCCGACCCAGCAGACCAGACGGAGTGGCATTGCAGACTTACCATGCTCAGGCACGCTCGCGTATCCACACGCGCGTGCGACAACCACACCCGCGTTCAATTTGCGCACGTGCCCAGGTGGACCAGGTGACAAATGCGCCATGGCGTGAGCCTTTGTGGGGATTCGGAGCCATTGGTTTGGATTAAAAAGTTGGTCTGGCGAAAGCCACCGTCGGTGAAAATAACCGCAAGCAAAAAATAAACCACGAGGAACGTGCACGTGTGTTGGGAGGCCGGGCGTTAATGGGCGCCGATGTATTTGTGTGCAAATGTGATGTCTGCTCTGCATGCGAGACATGTTAATGGAACACAGGATGATGTACGAGTTTCCGCGTTGTTTTATCCGCGTGCTACTTCTTCATAGCGTGTTCATTGCGTGGCCTAGGGGAGCTGTCATTAGGTCGCCCAGTGCTCTAAATATTTGGGGCGAGAATTGTGATTTTTTTTCGCAATGAAAAATATGAAAAGTTACATGCAGGCTCATGCTTGCTGCCTGATTTTTCATTACGGTGTCTGGTGAAGTCAATACCCTAATGCATTACATAGTTTATACACAATGACAGCGCTGGAAAGTAAAGGCGACGTTTGTTTTAGGCGACTTTTCCATATGCGCTTCTCAAAAATACCTATATTCTTTGTTTTTTTCGGTAAAATCGCGTAGATAGAAAAACAATAATTAAAATAAAGTGAATAAAAAACTCTTTACTGTTTGTTGGGCATGCAACGGATTGGGGGTAGAGATGCTGCCGTTGTGCACTGCCTAGCGCACTGGGACTTGCAGCACAGAGGTCGCCAGTTCGATTCGATTTCCCCACGCTCGCAGCAGAGACACTGGGAAACATCTTCTTGGTTCTTTTGGTAAAGTCACGTAGAATGGAAATAATAAAATAATACAAATAAAACATAATAAAATAATTCTCACGACGTTTCGGCCACAACGCAAGCAGGTGAAGAACAGGTCTGTCGAGAAGACAGAGTCTGAATGACACACCCCAGGCTTGGAGCGTCTATTTAAGCTGGGATGGAGGGGGAAGAGCGCCTTGACAAAAGAATTTGCTTATCAAGAGGAATTTTAGCATATTTATGGGAAATGCAGATATGCGATTAGTACTAATTGTGAAATGCGTAGGAATTTAAACCCCCCGGCAAACCTCCTACGCATTATTTCCATTCTACGTGACTTTACCAAAAGAACCAAGAGGATGAATCCCTGCAGTCACGAAAACACTGGGAAACGTTTTCGAAACCCTCAACCAGCGTCGGCCCGAGCAGTTCAAATGGCTTCGCCACAGTCGGTCGATCGGCAGGCTCTGCGTGCGGTGTGGTAAAGTACGGGTATGCTCCCACCTCTTCCAAGATGCCTGTGCAGCGTGGAAGAGGTCCAGGAGGCCCCCGCTAAGCGGAAGCCCTTCCGCCAGTCGTGTTCGTGAGTAAGCGCCTCTGCAGGCAGGGTGCCCTTTTCAACGTCCGCCCGTGCAATGGACATTGCATGCTTTCTTCTTGGTTCTTTCGGTAAAGTCACGTAGAAGGGAAGTAATAAAATAATAAAAATAAAACATAATAAAACAATTCTCACGACGTTTCGGCCACAACGCAAGCAGCCGTCCTCAGGTGAAGAGGACGGCTGCTTGCGTTGTGGCCGAAACGTCGTGAGAATTGTTTTATTATGTTTTATTTTTATTATTTTATTACTTCCCTTCTACGTGACTTACCGAAAGAACCAAGAAGATGAATCCCTGCAGTCACGAAAGCTTTAAATCGAAATTTAAAATTGCATGTTTTTTTTGCGAAATTAAATTTGCAGCACGTGAAGAGCCAAACGTCTGGGCATCATGCAGACGACTGTGTCTGACGTGGCGTTAAAAAGCCTTCGTCTTACTTTCACGGCCCCAAATGATCTCGCGCACCACACTCCCTTCACGAATTGCTTTGCCCCCTGCGTTCCATCGAGAGCTCCTTTGCTCTCCGAGGTCAAAGGCTTCGCTCTATGGGGCAACGCTGTATCAGTCCAATTTATTATTCTTATTGTTATTACCTTGCCGAGGATGCAAGGTGATTTTAATAATAAGTATGACCTTGCCGATGAGCAAGGGTGGCGATGTATGGTGCGAAAGAAGTTCGGCATACACACGTACGTACATACCCTTCGTCGCCAACTACACTCACCGCGGCTAGCATGAGCGGCATTTTCAGAGAGTTGCGATGTGGGGCACCACAGTGAAAAGATGTTAACTACCGCGCCTTGTATACGGTAGGTCGTGGTTTAGATCCCGACCATGACGCCTGCTGTATATTTGGAGTTTGCTTGTTCTACCCGTAGTCACGTAGATTTTTCTCCAGGTCCTCCAGTTTTTCCCTCCACATTTAGAAACGTACATTTAGAGTACGTGGCTGCTGTACATTTCCACGTGATAAGCCACTTCGTTGAGCAATCACTTGTGGCCAGGTCGCTTCTGAAAAAGAGTTATATAGCTCGGTGCAGCTTTAACTGCTCAATAGAAAATGTTTGTTTGTGATGGACCCAGGACACACTGGCGGGACTGTGTCACTCGGCTGGCTTGGGAACAACTGGAAATTCCCCAGGAAGAGCTAGAGTCTGTGTATAGTAGTGTACAGGGTAGTGTATAGTAGTTTATAGTGTAGTGTATAGTTGTGCATGGTGTAGTGTATACTAGTGTATACTAGTGTATAGTGTATTGTATAGTAGTTTATAGTGTAGTGTATAGTGTAGTGTATACTAGTGTAGTAGTGTATAGTGTAGTGTATAATAGTGTAGTAGTGTATAGTGTAGTGTATAGTAGTGTCTAATGTAGTGTATAGTAGTGTATAGTGTAGTAGTGTATAGTAGTGTATTGTGTGGTGTACGGTAGTGTATAGTAGTGTATAATGTAGTGTATAGTAGTGTAATAGTGTATAGTGTAGTGTATAGTAGTATATAGTGTAGTGTATAGTAGTGTAATAGTGCATAGTGTAGTGTATAGTAGTGTAATAAAGGACTCGACCACGATGTCTGGCTTGGTGTCCTTTATTCGGTTCTTCTCTCTTAACCCGCACGGCTGTCCTTCTATAAGACTCTATACTGACACTGATAC